ATGTGCCACCACATGGGTGAAACTTGAGAAAATTATGCTGAGCCAAAGAAGCCAGTCACAAAAGATCACATACTGTATGGTTCCTCTATTGGTATGAAATGTCCAGAATCCGCAAATCGACAGAAGCAGAAAGCAGCTTAGTATTTGTTTAGGGCTGAGGAGAAAGGGTGGAAATGGGGAGTGACTGTCATGGCACAGGGTTTCTTTTGGGGATGATGAAAATGCTCTGGAATTCATTACTGGTGATGGTTACACAACCCTGAAGACATATTAAAAACCACAGAGAGCTGGGCACAGTGGTGTGCACCTCTAGTCCCAGCCACTCAGAAGGCTGACGCAGGATTACTTGAGCCCAAGATTTGAGGCCAGTCTGTTAAACAAAATGAGACCCTATCTGAAGAAAAAAAAAATTATACAGCATACAACTTAAATATTAAGACAAATTGTACAATATGTGAATTAAATCTCAATAATGCTATTATTTTAAGAAAGAGAAAAGAAAAAGAACCAGCCAGCAAGGTACTAGTTTCACCTCGCAAACAACTTTTCATCAAGTTTCCAAGACTACAAAGCAACGGCTCGTCTCCTATGCTGCCAACATCACGGGATGTATGATTTGTCAAAATCAACTGGACACAACAGGTGGTAAGGAAGATGGCAAAACTAGCTCCACTTCCGTGAATTTGTTAGGAAATAACAAAGTAAGGGGAGAAGTGAACTAAGGAAGGCCTGACCCTAACCCTTTTAAACAAGGTGGACCCACAACTAGTTAAACATATCACTTGAAATATTATATTACCAGGAAAACAATGTGGAGTCTAATGGTATATCAAAACAACAAACAACAACAATCAGTTATAAGAGCAAAGACTGGCAGCAAGAATTAAAAAATGAAAATAAGTGACTGCTCTTTTCTGGTTTTAGACTTTTCTAACTCATTCTTAGGAGCACTGTGGCCTCCTAGTCCAATCAGTCAAGATGACAGGCTCAAAGTCGGTGGGCGGTACCAGGGCAGAGGCAGCAGCCCGGCTGGTGGGTTTCTGGAGGCTTCTGCTAAGAAGCTTGCCTTCAGCTCCACCTTGGTAAGCCCTGAGCTACAATCTGTGCTTCGGTGAGAATGAAAGGTCGCCATGGAAAGGAGGACAAGCAGTGGCATTTCCTCCCTGGGCCAGGTGTTAAAGCCACAGTACAGCCCTGGGTACTCTAGACTCACTCCCGCCTCTCAATGGCAGCACCAACTGTGAAGTCACCTGGTGTGAACTAATCTGGTTCTGGACCCAACGCCACAGGCAAGTTCCTCCACAGGGAGGACATCATGAACCCAAGGCCCGAGACGCTGCCCGCAAACAGCTTCCTGATGGACACAGGAAATGTGGGCCGTGTGATGCAAGATCCAGGGGCCTGGTGTTTCTTGGAACTTTAGCATTAAAACAGTCAATAAAAAAGTTAATTTAGCACTGATTTCCTTTCTAAAATAGGAAGAAAAGAAATGAACTGTCAACAGAGGGCCAAGTCCCACCTGGCACTGCTTCTGCCAAAAAAAGCCGTGACCAGCCGTGGCTGGTGCTGCAGAACAGGGCAGGATGACTGCATGTGCCAAATGCAGGGCTCGAATCGTGAGCTCCAGGCCGGAGTCATCCTCACTCCCCCCACTGCACCTCGGGAGGACAGGGAACGATCTACTCTTGGCATAATGCCACCATCTGAGCAAGGCCGTCCTATGTCATTGCTCATTTGATCTGCACTGATTTGATTTATTTGAGTAAATTATTTTATATGGACAATATTGGAGTTTTATTTTATTCCCCTTCAAAACAACAAACAACAACAAACTATCACAGAGATCATTAGTCGGTGTCTCCGTGACCCTAACATGATAAACAAACAATTATTTGATGCACACGCCCTCATTTATGCACGCCCCCTCGGGCCCTGCCCCCATAGTGGGAACGGGGAGCTCCCAGCATCCCCGGGTGCACTCTGGTCCTCAGCAAGCGCTGGTCTCCAGCCCTGAGGCCTGTCAGGCAGGATGGGCTTCACCACATGGAAACAAAGGAGCAGGCCAAGGTCAGCCAGAGCAATAGAAACCCAGAACCCAGAAAGAGGGACACCAGGCAAAAATACGGCTCCAGGAGCTTCAGCACAGATGGGGCAACCTAGCTCTTCAGGAACATTCCCCTAAAAATTCTTTACATTTCCAGTAAAACCGAATGTCAGGGATATTCCAGATTTTTATCTGAGAAATTTGTCAAATGTTAGGAAAGACTCCACAGCCAGGTGACCCAGGAACAGGTGACCCAGGAACGGACAATAAAGCCAGCACCTCACTGTGGGCTCACAGCACATTGCAGACCCCATTTGCCCTCACATGGCATCTGGTGATGATTATTGCTATTTATAGATAAGGATCCTGAGGCACAGAGAGGTTAAGTCACTTGTCCAAAGTTCCACAGCTAAGAGCTGGCAAGGCTGGGGCTCCAGCACCAACTCACCTGACAGCAGCTCTGCTGTTTCTTAAGCACTTAAGTTAGCTGCCTCAAGGGGAAGCCAAAGTCAGCCCTTTTTCTGAAGGGTCGCTGCCCTTCACGAAGTGAACAACTCCAACATGGCTGAACAAACCCACTGTGGGGAAACTCACAGAATGGTGCAGCCTCTGACTCACGATTTTTTTTGGCTTTTTCAGATAGAAAAAACATTAGTCCCCAAATCTTATTATCTTTAATGAATGAAGTTAAGAGCCAACAATAGAGCGGCAGTACAGAATGGTGGGCAGGGCCGCACAGGGCTGCTCCACAGCAGCTACTGTCCCCCACCCTCCCCTTGCTCAAGGGTTTTCTTTCTTTCAGATTCTGTTTCACTAATGTTTCCATTTTCAATTCAGCATCATTCTTATTAAGTTCAAAATTAAATCAATTAAGTTTAAAATGATTGAAAGCTCTACCAGGTATCTTCACACAGCACAACCACCCACCAGCAACCCTGCAGCTTCTACCAAGCCCACTGGTCTCTGAAGGTCACCTTCCCCAGACTTCAGATTGACCATCACGTAATTTCCTGGCACCTACGACAGTCACAGCAGATGTTTGGTTCATTTGATCTCTCTCACTGCCAATAACCCAGCTTGCTGAAATCTGGGGAGGCCCAAGAGGGTTTCATAAAGGAAAATTCACACCAAAAACTACAGCACAGCCAGAAAAGAGGTGACCATCACCTAGATGGAGTCACCAAATTAGACCAAATTTGAAAAAGCTGCCTCCTCCTGTGACTAAAAGCCAGGGCTCGCCTGGTCCCTGCTGACTGAGCACTTTCCATAAGGAAAACCCTGGGGACGGCACCATCGTGTTTGTCCTCCTGTGGTCACCACGTCCCCAGAACCAAAATGAACAAACAACAGAAGAATCCGTCTTTACACTCTGACTGCAGGAGCCTCCTGACGGCCCAGCTGAAGAGCCCAGTGGTGAGCGGGAGGTGGGAATGAGCACCAGGGGCGACAGGGTGTCTGCCGCATGGCTGCAGACCACGGAGCAGACGCACCTCCTTTCCCCCTCAGGAAAAGGCCGCTCAAGGTGGTAGCGTGCACAGCAGTGGTAGAATAAGCTGCAAAATAAGGGCTCCGCAGCAGCCTTGGCTCTGTGAGCAACGCAGCTGGATGAGCAGAGGTCTGGGCCCAGCGCCGAGCCTGGCAGGCAGGATGGATGTGCATTCAAAGGAGCCTGCATGGCGTTTCTCCCCCCCCATAGTGGGAAATCTGAATAACAAAAACAGCAAAATTCCCGCCCCAGAGAACCTTCTGACAGAACAACATCTTGGCAAGATAGCAGAGACCCCGAGTTCCCAGGACAGGGCCCTCAACCCATCCTGGCCAGGTCAGCGCTGCTCCCACCCTTCTCCCCAGCCGCTCATCTTCTGCAGGCCTTCGACTCCCCACAGGCAATTCTGAGCCTCAGGAGTCACCGACATACAGCAAAGTGATTTCAAAAATGACTCGCAGTCCACACAAGTCTAAAATGACAGAGCTCGCAGACTCAGGAAGTCCCTCTCTGTTCTACCTCTCATGAGGAGAGAGCGCCCCATTGAGGAGGGAAGGCGCGGCCCAGCGCACCGGGCTCCTGACCACTGTGGGCAGTCCCACAGGGCACCTCTGGGCCTGAGGGCTCGAGGTCGCGGCCAGCAGCAGACCTGAGAGCTACTGTGATTAAAACTAAGGGACATTCACCAGAATTGAACATGCTCCCAAGCCTGGCCGAGAGTCTTTCTCCACATGACCTACGTGATCCCACAAGAATGCCACGAGAGTGCCAGAACTGTCATCAACACTCTTCTAATAGATGGGAACGCTGAGGCACAAGGTGACAGAACCAGAAGAGAGCAGAGCCACAGAGCAAGGGTCCTTCCAAACTGGCCGCCTACCCTCCCTGTCCCAGCCAGCCTCCAGCCTCCAGCCTCCCTGCCTCTCTGCCCAGGATGTGATTTCAGGGCTCTTGCTCCCTTGGCCTCTGCTCTGGTGGCCTCTGCCAGCTGGGATTGCTTTCCCCACACTCGGGCAGACATGGCCGCTGGAGAAGACCATCCCAGATGACCTTCAGGGACACAGAACTTGCTCCACACAGGCTGGTCCCAGTCCCCAGCAGACCTTCACCATAGCCACAGGGCAAAGCCTCCAGACCCAGATGAACAGATGCCGGCTTCCGGACACACAAGGATGAACGAAGCTCAACCCACTTTGCTTAGGAGAGAAAACAGGGTGTTTGTTGGCCTCAGGGTGCCAAGGGACAACCAGCTGCCCTTCTGCTCAGAGAACCCAGAAGTGGCTCCCACATGGAACCATCTGTCCCCAAACAAGGCAGCACAATCACTGCGTCTCCTCCTTGCCAGCCAGGAGGGCGGGGAAGGCCTGGCACACAAGCTGAAGGCAGGTGGGAGCTTGCCAGGGTCGACCACAGGGGCACAATCTGATTTAGAATAAATGTCACCGCTGGGCGAGTGCTCGGTCCCCATACCTTTTCTATCTCCTGGAGGTACAAGAGGGCTATGTCCCCGGCTTTCTCGTAACAGGTGATGACATCCTGCTCCCGGTCCATGTGGAGATTACTGGTGGAAGACGAAATAGGCAACTTCTCTAAACAGAGTCCTGAAAAGCAAACAAAAAATCTGGTGAGGGTTCTTCATGGGGCTTGATTTTTAAATATAGTGTTTCAGAGCCATAATATGGTCCTAGGATCTCATAGCCTATCATAGAAACAGATTCTCCTCCCTCTGTCTTCATTAAGGACAAAATAAAACATCAAAATGGATCACCAAAAGGAACACCCACAGCATCCAGCAAAGAAGAAAGAGGCCCTGAAATATAGAAAAACCTGTTCATCTGAGGTCGAGAACCTGACCCAGCACCTCACCAGGACCTCATCCAGACCCCAAAGCATGGTGGTTAACTTTATGTGTCAATTTGACCGGGCTACAGGGTGCCCAGACTTTAGGGCAAACATTATTCTGGGTGTGTCTGAGGGTGTTTCTGGGTTAGCTTAACACTTGACTTGGAGGACTGAGTGTGCACACTGCCCTCAATAACATGGGTGGGTCTCACTCAATTAGTTAAAGGCCTGAATAGAACAAAAACGCTGAGGGAGTGGGAATACCCCCACACTTGTGAGTATACACAGCTGGGATCTGGTCTCCTCCGGCCTTTGGATTTGCATGGAAATGCTGTCTGTTCTTGGGCCTTGAGCCTTCCATCTTCTGAAATGAACCTGGGTCTTCCAGCTCTCAGACTCAAACTGAAACTACACCATCACCAGTCCTGGGGCTCCAGCTTGCTGACTGCAAGTTAACCCAGTGAGACAGAACCTCACCACTGCTGGTTCTGTCTCTCTGGAAAACTGAGAGAGCTCACTCAGACAGCACAAGCCCCTACATTTTTTTTTATATAAATAAAGCTGATTGCTATAGCTTGGATCTTAAGTGTACCCCAAAGACACACGTGTCAAAGGGTGACCCCCAGAGTGTTGCTATGGGACACATGGCACCTTTAAAGGGGGATACAGAGGGGAGGTACTCATGTCACTGGGGGCTTGCCCTGGAAGGGGACCGTGGGACCCAGCCCATTCCTGCCCTCTCTTGCTTCCTGGCCATTGATGAGCAGCTTGTTCTGTCATGCGCTCCTGCCACCATGTGCTGGCTTCCCACAAATCCAGAAGAAACAGGGCCATTTGATTATTATCTGAAAGCTCCAAAGCTCTGAGCCAAAATAAAACTTTTCTCTTTATAAGTTGATCATCTCAGACATTTTGCTAGAGGAACAGGGAGCAGACTGACCCACTGGTTTGGAGCACAACACTACCAAAACACTCCCCTAAAATGCCCACCTGACCTCCTAAACACGGACAACTAGGAGCCCTCGGGGTCTGAGATGGAGACACGAGAACTGCCACAGTAAAGGGGGGAACTGACCATCGCAGGCACAACAGGGCCAAACCCAGGTCTTTGGCCTCCAACCAACACTCATTGCATCAGTTGCTGATTTTCACGATGGACACCACTCTGAGGAGTGGACCAGGCACTAAAGGTCAGGAAAGAACCCACGGCCTAACATGCACCATTTTGGATAATGGTGTTACCCAAGTTGCTCTCAGCAAACAGCAAAATTCCCAGAATACCACCCAGTTGAAGTCACACAGTGCATACACTTCTCAGCCTGGTGCTGGAACTTAGCACTGAGAACCTACAGTCCCTCCATGTCTTGTGTTAGCTTGATGGCTCATTTATTTTTGTTGCTAAATAATGTTCTACTTGCCACTTAGAGAGTATCTTAATTACTTACAAGTCCTGGCAGTTATGAATAAAACTGCTATAAACCTTCACATTGTGGGTTTTTTGTGTGGACATGTTTACAACTCAATTTGGTAAATGCCACAAAGTGCAACTGCTGGATCATACGGTAAGAGTATGTTTGGTTTTATATGAAATCACTAAATAAATACATTTTATTATTTATAATAAATACTATATTTTTATATTATTGTTCAAATAATATAATCAGATCAGATCTTTTGTCCTTTTTTAACTGCATTGGGTTTGGGGTTTGTTTGTGGGGTTTTTTAGTGTTGAGTTTTCAGAGTTCTTTGTACTCTCAATGCAAGTCCTTTATCACATCTACTTTGCAAATATGTTCTCCAAGCCTGCGACTTCTCTTTTCACTCCTTTAACCACATCTTTCACAGAACATTTTAACTTCAATAAATTCTAAAACACTAATTTTTCCTTTCATGGATTGTGCTTTTGGTTTATAAAGATCTCATTCCAGACACAAGGTGTCATGGTTGCACTATGTGATGGCCCCCAAAAGCTCATGTGTGAGACAATGCAAGAATGTTTAGGAGCAAAATGATGAGATTTAGAGCTTTAACCTAAATGGTAAATTAATCCACTGATTTGGATTAATGGATAGTGACTATAGGCAGGTAGGGTGTGGCTGAATAAGAGAAGTCACGGGAACATGCCTTGGGGTTATATTTTGTCCCTGATGAACCGAAACTCTCTCTCTGCTTCCTGGCTGTCAAGTCCTGAGCTGCTTTCCTCCACCATGCCCTTCCACCATGCCCTTCCGCCATGATGCTCTGCCTCACCCCAGCCCAGAGCTATAGAGTCAGCTGACCAGGGACTGAACCTCTGAAACTATGAGCCAAAATAAAATGTTCCTCCTCTCAATTGTTCTTATCAGGTCTTTTGGTAATAGTGACGCAAAGATGACTAAAACACAAGGTCACATAGATTTTCTGTTATCTCCTAGAAGTTTTAAAGTTTTGTACTTCACATTTAGATCTATGATCCATTTCAACTTAATACTTGTCAAAGGTCAGTGTCTAGAATTTTATTTTTTATTTTTTGTATCTAGATGTCCAGTTGTTCCAGTATTATTTGTTGAAAACTATCCTTTGCTCATTGACTTTCCTTTGGTCCCGTTGATCAGTTGACTATAGCTGAGTAGATCTGTTTCTGAGCTCTCTATTCTGCTGCATTGATCTACTTGTCTGTTATTTTTCCAATACTATGCAGCCCAAATCACTGTATAGCATTTTTAGTAGCTCTAATGAGGTATAATATATATGATATAAAGTGTGCAATTCAAAAAATTTTTAATAAATTCACAGAGTTATGCAACTATCACTGTAATTCAATTTTAGAACTTTCCATCATACCCAAATGATTTGGCACAAATGAAGTCAGTCTCTATTCCCACCCTCAGGCAACCACTAATCTGCTTTCTATCTCTGTAGATTTACCTTTTTTGGACATTTTATATAAACAGAATCATATATGTGGTCTTTCTGGTTTTCTTCACCTGCCTAATATCTTCAGGGTTCATCCATGTTATAGCAAATATCAGGACTCCATTCATCTTACTGCCATATAGAGAGGCTACATTTTATCTACCCATTTGCCAGTTGGGCTGTTTCCACTCTTTGGCTATTTGAACAATAAAGCTATGAACATTAATGGAAAGGTTTTTTGTGGATTGTGCAGATTTTTTAATTCTCTTGAGTGGAGACCCAGGAATGCAAATGTTGGATCAATTTTTTTTTTTAATTTTTTAAAGAAATTCCCAAGCTGTTTCCACAGAAGCAGCGCCATCTTCATTCCCACCAGCAATGTATGTGGCCTCCAGGGCATTCATCTGCTCAGCAGTACTTGTTATTGTCTTGACTCCTTAACTACAGCAGTCCCAATGACTTTTAGTGACACTTTGTTGTGGTTTTGAGCTGCATTTCCAAGACAACTAACAATACTGACCACATTTTCATTGTGCTTATTTGCTATCTACACATCTTCTTTGGTGAAGTGCCCATTAAAATATTTTATCCATTTTATAGGGTTGCTTATTTTCTTATGGAGTTTTGAGCGTTCTTTATATTCTGAATACAAGTGCTCAAACACGTGGTTCGCAAATATTTCTGCACATATTTCCATTCCCATATAAAATCAGTTTGTCAACTTTTACCACAAAATGTTTCCTGAGATTACACTGAATTTAGAGATTAATTTGGAGAGAACTGGTATGCTGAGTTTTTCAACTCTTGAGCGTAGTATGGATCTTTTATGTATGGATCTTTCACATCTCTCAGCAATGGTTTTTAGAGTTCAGCATATAGGCCTTGCAAACCTTTTCCAGTTTGCCCTTAAGTATTTCATATCTATTATGCTAGTGTAAATGGTATTATTTTGGTTCACTTGTTGTTTATTGCTAGTATATAGAAATGATTCCTGAATAGTGATCTTGTATTTTGTAACCTTGCTACAATTCCCCTTTTAGCTCCACTACAATTTTTGTAGATTCCATCAGAAGATCCACATCAACTATCATGTTGTTTGCAAATAGTTTACTTCCTCCTCCACAATCTAGATGCCTTTATTCCTATTCGTTGCCTTACTGCACTGACAAGAATCCCCAGTGCAAGGCTGAGTGGAAGTAGAGAGAGCAGAGATGCTTACGTTAATCCTGGTCTTAAGGAGAAAGCCTTCAGCCTTTACCATTAAGTTCAAAACTAACTGTAATGACTGTTAAGCTCTTCATAGATGCCCTCTGTTAGACTGAGGATGGTCCCTTCTATAGCAGTGTGTTCAGAAGAAAAGGAAATAATAAAGACCAAAGTGGAAGTAAATGAAATAGAAAACAGAAAAGCAATAGAGAATAATGAAACCAGAAAATCTTTATTGAGAATTTTTTTTAAAAAATGAATAACCTTTCGCCAGATTGGTCAAGAAAAAGGGAAGACACAAATTGCAACATCAGGAATGAGAATAAAGGTGGGGTTTTCTCAATTAGGTCAAGTTGGTACACTGTATTGTTCCAAGGCTTCTATATCCTCACAAATAATCTGTCTACTTATTCTACCTGTTGAAACAGGGGTATTGTAGTCTCTGCACATAAATGTGCATTTGGTCTGTTTCTCCTTTAAATTCTCAGTTTATGCTTCATGTATTTTAAAGCTCTTACTGTGTAAACTTTTAGATCATTTTACAGAACCTCTTAACAGACTTCTTTGTACTGAAACTGGCTTTGTCCAAGATTAACATAGCTACTCCAGCTTTCATTTCTTCACTGTTAGACTGTTAGCACCATATATTTTTCCATTC